TTTGAACTCACGAGCCTCCTGTCTCAGTCTCCTGAGCTGCTGGGATTACAGGGATGTGCCACTGCTCCTGGCCCATACTGAACTTCTAACACTGGCTATGTGGGTGGGTGTGAGACTGTGAGATTGGCCAGGAGGTGGAGAAAGGCTGAGCTGTGATATTTTTACCTTTTCATTTTTATTTGACATGAAATCATTGTACACACTTATGGAATACAGTATAGTGTTTTGACACATGTATACAATGTGTAATGATCACAGTTGAATAACTAACATATTCATCACCTCAAACATTATTTCTTTGTAGTCAAACATTCAAAATCCTCTCTTCTGGCTCTTTTGAAGTATACAATATATTATTGTTAGCGGCAGTCATCCTGCTATTCAATAGCACAGGAGAACTTCTTAGTCCCATCTCATTATAACTTAGTAACTGTCCATCAATTTCTCCCTCTCCTTCTTCTCCCCTCATCCTCAGCCTCTGGTAGCTGCCATTCCACTCTCAACTTTCACAAGATAACTTTTTTAAATTCTGCAAACAAGTGACATCATGAAGTATTTGTCTCTCTGTGCTTGAGTAGTTTCCTTAACATAATGTCCTCCAGGCTCGAGCATGTTGTCACAAATGATAGAAATTCATTCTTTTTTTTTCTTCTTTCAGTAGCATTTTATATAAATCAAATTATTATAACTGACACAGAAAGACATAAAATGCACAAATATGAAAAAACCACATCTACCAAATTTTCGTTTGTGCAAGTTTGATCTTAAAAATTTGTTTTAGTTAATTTTGTTTCTTTTCTTCAACAATAAGAAATTCATTCTTTTTATGGCTACATAGTATTCGATTGGGTAAATACAACTTATTTTTTATTCATTTGCTTATTGATGGACACCTAGGTTGGTTCTGTATCTAAGGAGAATATATGCATGTGTTACTGGTGTGTTTGAAATGTCTGCACGGAGAGGGTCCCTTCACAACTCAGGCAAGTCCCACAAGGATGACTATCTTAAGACGTCAGGAAGACACCTGTGTCTGGAAACAGTCACCTGCCTGGTCTGTGGGCACCTGCCTTTTGCTGATTGACTCCACTTGGACACTGATTTGTTTTAATTTTCTTCCAGGAAATCGGTGCCATCAAAGAGGCTTACCAAAGGCGTAAGTGACTTTTCATTCTGGCTTTGGATAAGGTCTGTCCCTTTGAAAACACTTCTAGGAACTGAATTGTCTGCTTTCTCCTCTCCCTTTTGCTTCTTCAAAAGTATTTGACAGGAGCCTTGAATCAGATGTCAAAGGTGACGTAAGTGGCAACCTAAAGAAGATTCTGGTGTCCCTGCTGCAGGTAAACTGTTCTCACCTATTTTACCATCTGAGGAAATAATTCTTGGCCACATGGTACCATGACAAGAAAGGTAAACTAGATAAACATTTCCTTCTTTTATTAAAAGTTGTCCACCCTTGCTCCATCAGCCCAGGGACCAGGAAGTTATCCACCTGGGATTTCTCCTCTTATAACAACCTGCCCAGTCTCGTGCAGTTTGCAAAGCCTTTGGGTGACTGGATTAGCTCACTAAATATAACCACTTCCCTTGACCAGTGAGGAAAGTCAGGCCTCCTGAGATGGGGAACCTGCCTGATTCACAACCAGTAAGACCCAGCCCAGGAGCAAGACCATCTGACCCAAGCCAGGCCCTTTCCACACCACACATCTGCACCTACTTCTAGGATGTGCCCAGAGTCTAGGCCTGTAGGAACTGCTGTAAGGAACTCCACCAGGGCAGCAGGGCTTTCAGAAGTGGCCCTGCTGGAACATAGCCCTCCCACTCCAGGGTCTCCAGGTGGGTAGCACCTGCATCTCATTCCCAGCCATCTACTTGAACTTCATACATTTCCTCCATTTCATTTATCCCACTGTGGATAGACTGACAGAACAGAACCAAAAAATTAGGCATCAATGGCTGCAGGAGGGTTGTGTAAGTTTTCTCCTGCTGCATAACGAATCACCACAAACTAAGCAGCTCAAAACAACTGAGATCTACTTCTCACCCTGGCCACAGGCCAGGAGTCCAGGGATGGGTTAGCCGTGTCCTTTGCTCAGGGTCTCACCAGGCTGAAACCCAGGTTTGGGCCAGGGCTGCCATTTCACCTGAAGCTCAGGGAGAATTCCTGGTGTTCTGTTCCCTTCCCTGCTGTCAACCAGAGACTGCCGTTGGCAACCAGAGGCCATCTGTGGCTCCCTGCCACATGGCCACCAGGAATAGTTTACAGTAGAGCTGTGGGGTTTCTTCCCGGCCAGCAGAAGCTCATCTCTCTGACTACTCCCATCTCTCACTTTTAAGAGGGTCCTGGTTGGGTTAAGCCCACCCAGAATGACCTCCTTTTTGATCCACTCAACTAATTATGGACCCGAATGACATCTACAAAAATCCCCCAGACCATCTACCATCACATAACCACAGAGCGACATCTCTGTTTCCACTGTTGCACACTCAGAGAAAGGGATTCCATCAGGCTGTGGGTCACTGAGGTCACTGCTGTCAGCCTGCTCTGAGGTCAGTGGGGTTCCTGACTGACGCTGATTTCTACAAGCAAGCATTTGCACAGAAGTGACACTGTTTATCAGTCATGCCCAAAAGATGGCAGCAAAGAGCAGGCCTTGACGCTTTGCCAGGCTGAAGGGTGCTTCAGGCCACTCCAAAATCACCCTCACATCCCAAGACGGTGGTCCAGCAGGAACTCGAGTTAACAACAATGTATCGATTTTTCTAGGCAAATCGTGATGAAGGAGATGAAGTGGACAAGGATCTGGCTGGTCGGGATGCCAAAGATCTGTATGATGTAAGTGTGCTCATGTGCCAGTCTCCGCAACTTCTTTTGTTTTTAAATTATGAGCATTGTTTTCCACAAACGTTTTCTTATTTCATGCACATGGGAGTTACTTGGGAAATGAGTGTGACCTTTAAGAAATAAATATATGCTTACATCTATTCAGATCATATATAGGGAGTTGTTCCTGTTCTTATACTCTGGGGCTAACCTGGATCCATTTGGGAACCAGGAAAGGTATAAATAATATAAATATATAATGCATGTTTGTGGGTTAGATGCTCAAAGTGCTTAGTCAATCCATTTGACTTCTATTCAGCTTGTATTTTAAAATTGCCTGTAAGTAAGATCTCATCACAGCACTGAATATGCGGTCTTTTCACAAAGTCCTTTTCAAATTGTTTGCTTCCAGGCAGGGGAAGGCCGCTGGGGTACTGATGAGCTTGCCTTCAATGAAGTCCTGGCCAATAGGAACTACAAGCAGTTACAAGCCACCTTTCAAGCCTATCAGATTGTAAGTAATGAAGTACTGAGGGGAGAGGGCTCCCTCAGAAACTCTCCTGAATTATTTCCAAAGGAAGCCAGGACCTGGGATACAGAGCTAGAAAATCACAAACAATAGTAGTTTTCAGTGGTGAGGGGTGGGGTAAGGTCCAGGATGCTTCCCCTCATCCTGCACAGGACAGCCCCAAAATGGGGTGCTAAGTCTGAGATACCCTGGGATACCAGGGACATGCAGAGTGTTATGTTTAGGAGCAAAACTTAAGAGTCCAGGGTTCAGGTGCAAATGCTGGTTCTACCACTGGCAAGTGACCAAACATCTTCCACCCTCTTATGTAAAACAGGGACCATGAGCATCACCACCCAACCCTCATAGAGCTATTTGTAATAGTTAAAGAAGACAAAGGCGCAGAACAATATCTGACAGGTGGTAAGCTCTATTATTGGTGGTATTATTCCAATTTACAGCTGTGTTCACAGTGTACCTACAACTCTCCAGACAGACATGAGATCCCTCATGAAAAGACATGGATAAATTTTGTTTCTAATCTCACGATTAAGTTAAGCCAACGAAGTGAGTTAGCTATTTCAGAGTACTTAGTTCTAAGCCCTTCCCTTAAAAGCGATCTTGAATTGGCAAAAAAAAAACTTTTTTTCTCCTATTTTATTTTTGTAGAGTGCTTTTACCTGTTCAAAGCACTTCTATGCCTTGTGTCTCATTTCAATTTCACGACAATATCATAACTATAATGTAGGCTGAACAGCTGTTGTGGCCTGTAACTGTTGGACAGGGCAAGTCCGCCCAGTGAGGAGCCATCTGTAACTTATCAGGACCACACAACAAGTCAGTAGCAGAAAGTGGATGAGAGCTCCAAGCCTCCCCGGCCCAAGCGCCTACCTCAGCTGGAGCTGGCTGCTCCTCACTCGAAATAGCTTTTCCTGGGAGCTGCCAGTAGATGAAAAGACAACGAGGCTTCGGAATTTTATCATTACTGCATGGAAGCCTTGAGGGGCCCCTGCTTTCAAATTGTGCCCAGAGTCATAATCAAAGGCAGCCAATCGAGCAGCCCCTGCTCTCAGTGCCTGCAGGCCTCTGGCCTCTGAGTTGGAGGACCACTCGGTGACCATGGTCCTCTTCCACGTGATAGAAGCCACTGATGGAGTTTCCAAGAATGGCTGTCATTGGTGATCACCAGAGAAATTCCCACATGGGAGTGAGTGTGTGTGTTGTGTGTGTGTGCGTGCACTCTGTATGAACTAGTGACAACCTGAAAGGACGCACTCTAGGTCAATATCTCAAACTTGATTCCAAAAAAGCAGCATCAGTATCACCTGAGAATTCAGTCTCCACCCTGGACTCACTGAACCAGATTCTCTGGGGTTCCGGTCTAACCAACTGCAGGACTTAACAAGACCCGAAGGTGATTCTGAGGCATGATGAAGCTTGAGGAGTTGGCCCTAGGCCACTAGCAACAGAGTCTGGGGCAAATTCTTAAAGGCCTAACTCTTCTCAACTATGAAGTGGGATTAATGGTACCCACTGCATAGGATTAGTAAGGATTAAATGAATTCACGGAAGTAAACATTAGACAGTACCCTGCTTGCTGTACACGCGTGCTCGATAAACATTAGCAATTGTTAGCACTCTCCCCATTTGAACCAACAGGACCAAAAATCAGAGCAAATCTCCAAAGGAAATAAAGCACCCTACAGAGTTGCTGATTCTTGACACAAAACCAGCTCTAAAATGCTACCTGTATATTCTAAAAGCCTTGTTCAAATATCATTCATCTTGATCTTCATTGCTTATTTTTTAGAATTTACCCTGTTCTTAGAACCTAGGTTCAATACGTTTTTGATGGTATCTGGCCAAGAGCACCAAGACACTTGTATGAGATCACTGGAATGTATTATGTATTAGATTGTCATGGCGTACAGTTGAATTTTAATTTTTGGCACAAAAACTCAGGGTTTTGTCCTTTACTTGCCCTCTAAGCCTGAGTCTTAACTTCTGACATGCTCAGCAATCCAACCCAAGAAACAGAACCTCTCCAAACTGGTACATCCTGCAAGATTATTCCAGTCCCAAGTTTTACCAAACATGAAACACACAATCACAAAGTCAAAGTTAGTTCCACAACAGGGCTCAGAATAAATAGGTTACACACATGCACAGCCCAGCCCCACACCTCTCCATCCTGAGCCTCACCTCTTGGCCCTTCTCTTTACATTCCTAAGCCATCAAGAGCCAGAATGGCCCTCTGTCATCAAAGCCAGAATGCAGGGGGCTCTGTGGTCAGCATACTGTTAATTTGGAGGCATCCATTTTAAAAGAGAGATGTGTCTCCCTACAGGCACTGCTACCTGTTTAACTAGTCTCTGAGACTGGTTTGGAATCCACCCTTGTAAAGTGTTTTTTTTCTGAGATCAGAAAACCTGGTTCTGTCCAAAGAGTCCCCTAGGAATTAGGTATTGAGATAACTAAAGTGAAAAGTGGACACAGGAGAGTCTCAGTAGCTGGGCCAGTCCATTATTCCAGACTCTGTTCCAGAGAGCCCAGGGAGATGCTCCTGCAGCCTCCAGGAGGGCTGGAGCCAGCAGAGAAAAGAAGGAAGTAGCATCTCATTGCAGCATGTGAATAGAGTCCCCAGGAGTTGTGCAAGGAAGAGCACTGAGGTTCCGGAACATGGCATCAATGTCCAGGACTAGTGTGGGGAGCCCACCTCCACCTTCCCAGACCAGCTGTTCATCTGCCTTTATCTGTTTTGTGGGCTGAGAGTCTGTGGAATATTGAAAATCACTCCCCTGGCCTGGGATTAACAGTAGAAACAGAAAGTGGTTTAATGTGAAGATTTTTTTTTTAAGTAAATACAGATCTATGTGAACAAAAGGTTGTCTTGAAATTCAATCTCAGTCTGCAAAACAAGAACTCTGTTTCTGGGAAAGTGATAGGCATCCCTTCCTACCAACTTCCAGACCAAACCCCAGAAAGTTGGGGGCAGGGACAGGATTGAAAGGCCCTGCCCTTTTTACTCTGGACACATTGAGGCCTGTGGCTTTGCAGACATGGCTGGGGATCCAGACCCCCGTCCTCTCACATATATTGTGCTTGCATCTCAAAGAATATTTTGTTTACCCTTGTTTCCATAATACAAACCATCAGCTCCACTAGTATGTACTCAAAGGTCCCAAGTATTTATAGGATCAATTGTGCCATATCCTGAAAAGATCATTTCTAAGAAAAAGGCAAAGTGCTCAAATCCTGCAAAGAGCTCTCCTTTCTATTTGCCTGCCCTGAGCTTGGCCCTGGCTGTATTTGTGTTAAGGAGAGTCACAATTTACTCTAACTTTAGCTTCTGTAAATATTTGGAAAGAAACCTAATGTGCAATGCTGTGCAGAGTGACATGCAGACCAGTGGTGAATATAAGATCATCTGCAGTCACCCCAGAGCGAAGGAAAGTGGCATTCTGATGTGGTCAACCCCGCTCTGTCAGGAACATTAGATCATGTCCCCATCATGAACTTCACGACCTCCACTTATTCCACCCAAGCTATAAGTGACTGACTCCCAGTTCCAAGACAAGGAGACAAGGGAGATGCAGGTCAGATTATTATACCAGTCTCCTGGGAACTGGAAAAGATGAGAAATACATTGGAAGTTAAAGTACTGTAGAGTGTTACAGTGTGGGTCCAGTATGGGTCCCCTCTGAACTAACTCCTTAGCAGTAAGAGCTCCTCTCAAATAAGGGGCAGCCACCCCCACCCTGAAGAGCAAGAGCCAGGACAGGAGCTCCCTACAGCTGAGGCACTAAATCTGGGAGAGTTTAGCACATCATTTAGAGAAAAGACCCAAGAACTCCAGGGCCAAAAGCAAATTCTAGAATAACAGCCAGACTTTGCTTGTCTCTCCAGCTCATCGGCAAAGACATAGAAGAATCCATTAAAGAAGAAACATCAGGAGACTTGCAGAAGGCCTACTTAACCCTGGGTAAAGTAAAGTTAGGAGGGTCCCTGTCCTAAGTGAGGCTTTCTGAAGCTGGCCTGGGAGACTGAGTTCTGCATGCAGGAGGATTTCAGGAATGACATACCTAAGCAGCATCTGGCTTAGGTGATGCTGTGTCTGTCCCGCAGGGAGCTCTGAAATGGGGATGGTCACAGTGGAACAAGGGGGCCAGGTTTCTGCACACCATGTCAAACTGTAATGGGACCTTTGCAACCTTGGGGAAGTCAGCAATTTCTGCAGAGGGCACCAGATGTGAGCAGTCAATAAGCAACCCCTGGAATGCATGCCTCAGCCCTGAAGAAGACATCTCATTGTGCACCAGAATGTCCACTGCAGTCCTACCAGGGTAGGGAGTCCTAAAGAGCATTTGTCAGCAGCCCTGGATCATGATCTAGTCTCAGGTGGCAGTATGGGGCTCAAATGACACATACTCAAGAATACCTAGTTTAGTATCGAGACAAGTTTTTACACATGCCCCATGGCTGGAGGGTTTCCTTTCCATTTGATGCCCTTCAACATTCAAAGAATGAGTTCTGTTTAAAAGGGAGGGGAGGGAGACTAGATCTTGGCTATGCCAAGCAAACCCCAGGACCTTCTCTCCAGGTGTTGCCCAAAGACAGGAAATAGCAGAGAGATGGGCACAGGGCCGTGTCTTGCAGGCTCCCTTTTTCTTTCTGCAAGCACTGGAATGAAGGCATTGTCCATTGTCCACACTGCTGTGGCGAGGAGTCCAGGGCACCAACCCAAATGGCATGAAGAATGGAGAGACACATCCCCAGAAGAGGAAGAACCAAACAAGCAGTCCTGGAAGCTCAAAAATGTGCTCCAGTTGCCAAACTTTACTTGAGATTTTTTTTTTTAAAACAATGTCAACAATTGGGGATTTTTTTCCCCCATCCATGCTCATTTTGCATTCAATTAGCAGGACCTCTACTGTGATGTGCAGAGGCCTAAATGTTTCTAGTATTATTCATGACCACATGGACACACAGGAGCCCTAGTGTGGACGACTGTCCTTAGGGCTTTAAGGAAGAGTCTCCTAAGCAGATGGAAGCCTTTGCAGATGGAGCCTCTATTTCAGAGGCTCTAAGGCCAGAAAAATAGCAGAGTGCTGTCAGAGGGTGGTCCTGCAACCAGTCAATGTTTTAACATCTACTCAGCACCAACCTGAGTACAGGGGTTGTGCTAGGTACAGGGATCAAAGGCAAATAAGACCCAGTTCTTGCTCTTATGGAGTTTAATATCCATAGTGGATACACACAAGTCAACAGATTGGGCTATAGTAAAGAAATGAACAATTAACAATCAGAACAAGGAGAGTACAGAGGAGGGAAAAGTTAATCCCTGGGAATTGGGAGCCAGGAACTGCAGGAGTTGAGATATTCAGTAGAAAAGCAAAAATAATTAGAAAAGACCTTGAGAATGAACCACACAAATAATAGAACATGACTCCACAACTCTAGTTTCTAGACATTCCTCACCCTGCCCCCACCTAACTCCTAGAAACACCAGCTTATAGCTACAATGTAAAAAGAGGGGCTCTACCCAAATGACTCCCACCATGACCATGGGGCCCAAGGATCACCTGCCTCAGAATCTCCTGTTACAACAGTTTCCTGAGCCCCTTTCAGGTTTCCCGTGGAGAAACCTGGAATGGAATGGAGCCCAAGAAGCCACACTTATAAGCTCCCCACAGCTCATCTTGTGTCCCCTGCTCTTTGAGTGAGGTACAGCACAGCATGAAGAGTTGGCTGTCCATCCTTCCACTCACCTGAGCAACTTGACCCCATGCTTCCCTCGCTATCCCGCTGAAAGATTCCTCCTGCTGCTAACAGCATAAGCTACTCCCCAGACACAGATTATCTGCACTAAAGATGGTGAAAGTTTTCTTGCCAATCTATTGGGAAGAAGTAATGTGAAGGAAGAAGACCCTGAGTAGGTTCAGAGCACGCTGACTCTGAGCCCATGATGGTTCAGATCCATTCATGCTGCCTAGAGAGGAAAAGTTTGTCAATAGCTCCAATTGCCTGGGGACCACAGTGAGTCTCAAATACGCTGCTCTTCAAAGCAGCATACAGGTTTCCACCAACAACCACCCAGGGGCTTTTGGACTGTTCTTGGGGTAAAGAGACCAGACATCTGGGTTGGGCTTTTCTTTTCCACTAAAACTCTGGAGGCTGACATGTGGCCTATAAAAGGAGACTGACACTCCCCCACACACACACCCGCCCCCCTAGGCTCTCCTGCCATAATCCTGCTCCCCCTCCCTTGCTCAGAAGCATCAGCCACACAGATACTTACCTGGAAAACAAGAGCCCCATTCCAGGCCATATTAAGCTTGCATGGTCCACATGTATGCGGAACTTATTATTCATACTAACATCAAAAAATTCATCTAGAGAAATGTTAACAACCCCAAGAGTAAATAGCTTATTGCTCTTAAGCATTAGTCATGACAGATGTATATGAGCTGGAGGAGGAAGGGAAATGGTGATTTAGCCCAGGAATAGAGAGGCACCCTGTCGCCCAGCTGATGCTTAGAAACCACACTCCATTCATCTGTGGATGGAGCAAAGCTGGCAGGCAAGGGGAGGTCAGAAAGAACACCGAGCAGCACCCTGGGAAGGCGACCAATCATCTTACCAAGCCTACATCCAGGTCACTGGCTGAGAAAGTCACGGGGAGCCTGGAGAAGGTTCAGAGGCAAGGCTTCTAAAGGTGGTTGAGCACAGGAAAGCAGCCCACAGACCTGAGGGGTCAACCTACGAGATTACGGATTTTTATTACACAAGATTGCTGGCCAGCCTGTGTTGCCCTCAGAGTCCTGCTCCAGCACCAGAGATTTCCCTGAGATAGGAACAGAAATTTCTGCAGGTGAGACCCATGCACCCCACAGGACAAACCTGAGGATGACGCCCTCCCCCAGAGGGCCTTCAGGAAGCAGGATGTGCTCTTATTCTGCTGAAGTGCTTTTGATCTGGCTCTGGTTGAAGGCCCTGGTATCTTGACCTGGGGAATCTTCCAGATCTCATTCCAAAACAATGTGACATCAGCTTCTTCCAAACTTCTGTCTCAGGGGTCAGTCAGCTCCAAGGGTTGCCAGGGGCCACTCTGGGCCACTCCGGGCCCTGGTAGGGTTTCCATGTTACCCATCAAATTGTGAACACCACCCCTATCCTTTTCTCATCCTGCCCAGTGAGATGCGCTCAGGACCTGGATGGCTATTTGGCCGACTGTCTGTATAAGTCCATGAAAGGTGCAGGGACCGATGAGGAAACGCTAATCCGCATCTTGGTGACCAGGGATAAGGTAAGACACACTCCACTCCAAAGAGGCAGCTGCACCTTCTCTTTTGCCCACGACTGATGTCATGGACAAGTAGTTTTCAGTAAGGACCTATTTACAGGAAAAGCAAAACAGAGATGGTCCCTGCCTTCCCAGAATTTGTAGAAGACTGTGCTCTGCTTCAATCTGTTTCTTTTTATAAAAATACAATAATGATAGTTGCTTCTATTTTTGTCCTCTGTGGCTCTGGAGAGTTCGTGGTACTGTGTGGAGGGGAACTTACAGAAGCTACGCCCAGCTCCATTTTAAGGAAGCCAAAACAGGGACACTGAAGGAGGTTGCCCGGCCACAGAGATAATAAGCAAATGACTCCCCAGTTCCTCAGCAAGCCCTTTTTAAATTGAACACACCATAGAAGCACAATTTTTGCACAAGGAACACTTTAGCCTAAGAGTGTTTCTCAACCTTTTCCTTATTGTCCCCCTAAGGATCTGGTTCACACACTTATTTTTCCTAATTGACAACCTCCCTCCACCAACCAAATGTTTTTTAAAACCACAGACAGTATTGTTGATCCATTTATGTGCCGTTTGAATTATTTATTTCCAGGAATAGCAATGCACCTTTATACGTTAAAAGATTAAGGGTCCTTTTTACCCTTTAAGGACCAATTTTTGTCCCCTGTCAAAGAATGTACGTGTCTAAGAAAGAAAAGGGAATGAATTGCCAAAAGGTTGGGAGCAGCTGCCAAGATGCCGAGCTAACGCTTCAGGACATCAGGTCACAGATAGAAAGGGTGTGACGTCAAGGGGAAAGGGCATTCTCTGCAGTGGCAGCCCTGGAGGATGAAGTAGAACAAAGCAGGTGAAAACCACAGACATCTTCCCCCTAAAAATTGACAAAGGGAGAGGGAGAAGTGCCAGGCCAAATCTTGATCCACGCCTTTTGACAAATACTTAACATCTGACGCTGGTTTTAAATAAAACTTCGCAGCAAGACAGTTCTTTCGTTTTTTCTTTCTATTCCTGGAATATCTCCTCCCCCTCTCTCCCTCCTCCTCCATGACTTGTCTTTTTTCCTAAGTCTGCTTCTCTCTCCTCCCTCTCTTCTCTTCAGCCTCTCTGCCGCTCTCCTGGAGTGCTCTCCTCCTCTGTCCTCCTTAGAAGACTTCCGGCTCTGGCTGTCTGGCTCTTAGCAATGCATCTCCCAGCCCAAGACACCAGAGGTCTCGAGGTTCACAACAGAACAGACCCAAGGTTCTGAAAGAGCCCCAGGGAGATTGGATCCATCCAGAGTGCCTGTCCAGGGCTCCATGTTCACACTGACCTAGACCATGGAATGTTCAGTTCCAGAATGCTCTGTCCCCTCTCAGTATTGACCAGTGTCCTGAGACAGTTTCTCCTGGCCACTTAGAGTTTAGCCAGATCCTTTAATCCCTCACAGCCACAACAGAGGTCCACTGAGCCCGCATCCTGACCCACACCTTCTCACCCATCCCCCAGCACTAAGTAAGGAGCCAGACAGGGGAGCAGGGGACACAAGCCATCTGCCTCCAACAGTCCCTCTCCTCCTGCTCAGTGTCCACTTCAAACAATCCCTCACTCCCCCACCTTCTCTCTCTCAGTTCAGCCCTCTAACTGGGGCAGAAGGATAAAGAATCAGATACCTGAGCCACGGTTTCTAGGTTCGCAGTGCAAGGCAGAGCCTAAACCAAAAAAAAAAAGAAAGAAAGAAAAAATACTCCTGGTTACAGAGGGCTCTTTGTTTCTTTTATGAGACTCATTTTCTTCAATCTGGAATTATATCTTTTCTGATGCACGTTACCTCCATCTTAGCTGGAAGGAGTCCTTAGCAGAGTGATCTTCTTGGCTGTTTTCCTCCTGAGGTCTATCCTCATCCACAGCACCCAGGTTTTTAAGCTTTAAACTAGTCCTACAAATGATTTGAATTTTGTTGACAGGTTCTAATATCCGTGCTTATCCAGAGTATAAGGGGAAAAAAAAATGCTTCATCTGAGGTTTCCATTATGATAATTTCCTTTGTCTTCTACCAAGGGTTAGCAAACTCTGACCTATCACCTGAGCGGGGCCCATCACCTGTTTTTGAACAATCCTGATATCCAAGAATGATTCCTTTCTAAATCCGAACACAAATAACTTGAAAGAAAACTCAAAAATAAAAATTCTATTCTGTAACACATAAAAACCATTCTGACGTTCAGGTTTTGGATTCCATCAATACAGTTTTAATGGCTCATACAACTACATGCAGACACCTCTGGGGAACTGAACTCAGCTTTCCTTTTCCCATCCACAAAATGGAAATGATGATAGCCCTACCCCTAAAGGCTGTTTAAGGCAAATGAGTGTGAGGGCTTAGCTGACTGTTCATGGGGAACATACTATCAATGCTGGGGTCCCCCCTTCCATTATCTTTCCTACAGGTGGACCTACAGGGCATAAAGGCCAAGTTCCAGGAGAAGTATCAGAAGTCTCTCTCTGACATGGTTCGCTCGGACACCTCTGGGGATTTCCAGAAATTGCTGCTGGCCCTCTTGCACTGATTTAAGCCAGAGCATTAGGAGGAACACAGGGAGAAACTGCCTTTATCAAGAGCACATTCCGAATCAAGCTTGAAAATGGGACCATGGCACCAAAACCCCTCAAGTCCTGGTTTGTTTTCTTGGCATCTTAAGCAGCTGAAAGGCCAAAGCTATTTACATTAAGAGCAACAGCCTCAAGACACTTGGATGGGTCGTCTTGAATGCTGGCTTAGCCTGTATCTAGGTTGCCTCCTAACCTTCCTTTAACATGGTAACTGAAAGCTTTCCAAGCACAAATAAAATCAGCAGTTGATAATAACAATAATAATAATAACAATGATAATAATAAAATATAAAAACCCTATGCATTTGTAATAAAATGTTAAGAATACCTATCACACAAGAATGTGGGAGTGTATATGGTTCCAGTAAAGACTGAATGGTTATAGTACAGGGAAGACAAATTTAACCAATTTGTTAATTTTCCTTCTGAGTGCTCAATTTCAAAGCCTCAATGTTAATTAAAGTTGTGGATTATGCCTAGTCAGTTGCTTTTCCAAACTGGCTTGAGTAGTTTGGGCTCTTGTTCTGGAAATTATAGGACTAGTGAAATGCAAACACATTTGGGAAAATGCACAACTACATCTATTGACAATCACCAAGGACAGGGATCAAGGCTGGCAGCAAGGAAACAGTGACCTGCCCATGTGACCTGCAAGTAGGGGTAAACTGCCCTAATCTCTGCCTAGTTTAACTGGGTTTTCTCATTCTGAGACATTTGACTCATCTGTCTTCCTTCGGATCTTTGAACACCATTAAGCTAAGCAAAGTGCCAATAAGGCCAAGGCCCATAACCTGCCTCTCAAGTTCTGCACCAATAGAATCTCTGTTGCAAGATGTTGGTCTCATAGTCACATGGAGTCAGACGTAGAGGGACCTGTCAAGAGAACCTGGGCACTTTGGTCTCATAATTACAGTTACACTCATTGGATAAGTATTTGTGCCTGGCCACTGCTCAGTAGCATAATTTTATACATAGTCCTTCCCACAGCTCTATGAAGTTAATATCACTCCCATTTATCAGTTGAAGAAACAGAGACATTAAGAACCCTGGCTAAATGCATTTGTACACAATAGAATTAAGATTTGAGCCAGGCACAGTGGCACAAGACTGCAACCCCAGCAACTCGGGAGGCTGAGACAGGAGGATCGCAAGTTCAAAGCCAGCCTCAGCAAAAGTGAGGCACTAAGCAATTCAGTCCTGTCTCTTAATAAAATACAAAATAGGGCTGAGGATGGCTCAGTGGTCGAGTGCCCCTGAATTTAATCCCCTATACCCAAAAAAGAGATTTGAATCTCAGATTGACTGACTTGAGAAATCACACTATTAACCAAGTGGTTACTTTTTTGGAAAAGTAATTGAAGCACATGGTAATAGGTCTGTATTCATTCATCTGCTTAATTCCCTGCTATCTGCCAATCACTGGGGACACAAAGGTAAGTACAACACAGTGTATACCTTGGGCAATCCATTCTCAAGACAGTAAGGGAGACAGATATCTCCATTGGTCCACACAATGCTCCATGTGCTTTAAGAAGAGTAGAAAAGGGGCTTTACCCATAAGCACACAGCTCTGCATGGGGGATCTGGAGAATGTTTCACACAGACACATTTGTGTTGGGTTTTGAAAAATGCACAGAAGCTCTTCAGAGAAATAAAGGAAGAAAGTCACGAGCAAAGTCTCCAAAGCATGAATGGGGCAGGATGTGCTCAGGAAAAGATGGACTGCATTCTTCTGGAGCATATATGTGTTGAAAGAAGGGATGGACTGGGGTGGAGGGCCCATCAAGGAGTCTGCTGAAGACATAATTGGATCCCATCAGCAATAGTTCTACCTGCCAAGCACGAGCTAGGTCTTTTGGACAGTGGCAATCAGCAGAGAAGTCTAAGAAAATGAGGATGGTGATCAGATCCGGGCCTGGGGAAATCACTGTGGTGGTGTGATTCACAGAAAAGCAAATTCGCCCAAACAGTCCAAGAACAGATGTCATATCATGGTGTGTCATTTTAGCAGCTATGAAACAGTGACTGAGAAATTAATAGGTTCTGTTCATGTTGGTGTCTTATCTACCCAATGGTCATTGGAACCACTGTAAGCTTTTACTCATAAAAGGCTATTTTTTTAGAGCCAAGTTCAGTGACAAAACATACTCTCATTCATTTATTGCCAAAGGTGATCTTTACTTTTAAAAACAGGAACAAAGAACCCCATTCTTAGGATCTGAGCTCATGGTAAGAACAGAAAAGCAAGCCAATGGAAAGAGATTTGTTAAAAACAGACACAATTTGAGATTGTTGGAGGCCATGACACAGGCAGAAGAGAAAAGGAGTTTCATGGGGGAAGAAATGGGCCAAGTGAGACTGTGCAGCAAGGTCATTTGCTCAAGGTTACCCAAGGGAAGGGTTAGGGCTAGAATTCAGCTCTAAGTGTTTCTGACCCTAGGGCCTGTGCTACCCACAGTATGTTTTAGGGTCACAATGACCTCTCGTATAGGTTGACTACTGCACAAGACTGCCTGGTTGAGGAGACATTTGGGGCCTGAAATTCAGCCCTAGCTCTCTCCCACGGAGTCTGCAGGGCCGCAGCTTCCTAGAGAGGGCGCCTTCTGCTAATCTGCACATAGCTGCCCTCTGGGCTGGTACCAACTGGCTGGCGTTGCACACAACCTGTTTTACCTAGGAGAGGCCACTGAGAGCCTCTTCCTCCAACAAGATGCCTGTGACCAGTTTCTTCTACAAATTTTAGGTTCTGACTCTCTAGGCAACCCATAATACCATACAGTCAGTCTTTGTTAATCATTCTTAGGAGTGTTGAGAAGTGAAGATTAAGAAGGAAAAGTATGATTAGCTAACAAATTCTTAGTCCTGGTTTTAGTTTATTGATTTAAAACTCTATGTTTCTTTTCTTGCCTCAGCTTTACATGCTACCCACTTTTTTTTTAATAGCTGTATGGAGTTTAATTGACATATATCAACCTGAATATATCTAAGGTATATACTTTTATCTTTTGACATGTGCACATCCATGAAACCAGCACCACAATCAACAAAATTAACATGTCAATTACTACTAAGTGTACCCTACTTCCCTTTTAAATCCCTCCTTTCTGCTCTTCCTCACGATCTTTTATTTAACAAATTTGATCTTTTTTAAAAAATTTTAATTGATTTTTTAAAAATAAATAACAGCGGAATGCATTATGATTCTTATTACACATATACAGCACAATTTTTCATATCTCTGGTTGTATTTTTTAAAATTTTTTATTGATTTTTAAAAAACAAATTTGATCTTCTTGAGCAAAATGAGAGGACAAATATCAAAATTATATAAATCCTTGAATTACCATAATGTGTCTGTTGCTTATATCAAGAAACAGAATACAATACTATCCCAACAACCTCTTTATACTGTCTTCCTCTTAGTATCCCTTCCATCCTCCCTAGTGGGGACTACAATCTTTTATTTCAACCAGTACAATTAAATTATTATTTTTTCATTAGGTCCAAATGAATCCTAATGTTATCTATAACTAAAAATAAACAATTAAAAAATGTATTATTTTAAAACAAAATAAGCAGACAATAAAGCAGAAGTTATGAAAGGGGGAAAAAAAGGAAAAGTAGTTGCAAATAATGGTCCAGAAGATGACATGGGGTTTTTGCCACACAAAGATGATCATTGGTGGGGAAGCCCAAGGAGGCAGAGCATGACAAGGCTCCCACTGGACATCACTCTGATTGCAGTTGGGTGTGACAGCCCCTGTGAGATGGCCCCATCCTCACCCGGCTCAGGAGCAGCCTGGTTCCTACAGCAGCAACAGATTAATGCACAGGACCCCCTCCCCCCTGCCCCAGGCCACAGACTATGTCCCACCACACACAGCCAGAAGAATGCCTCAGATAAGCCCCAGAAACTAGATAAGCTGAGAGATTCAGGCACCAGAAAACCCAGAAATGGACTTCAGCTCTCTGTGTCCACAACTGAGAGCTCACAGGTTGAGTACAGAGAGACGTCAGCGTGGCCAGCGTCACCACCATCTCTCTAACAACCAGGGCACAGGGTGCAGACCAGGATGAAGGGAGACATAAGGTCAGGGAGAGGGTGAGAATAAATTGTTCATTTTATTTTATTTGTAATAGACTTTAGATTTACAGAAAAGTTGCCATCCTCTTAGAATTTGTAAATACCCCACTCCCAGTTCCCCATGTCACTCACATTAGTATGGGGCATTTATCCTAATTGACAAATTAGCATTGGCACATGATCATTGTGTCCTATTTCTGTCCCAGGTTCCAACCAGGACACCACTTCACATTCGATCACTGTGTCTCTTTAGGCTCCTCTTAGCCATGACCATTGGTCAGATTTTTCTTTTTCTTTCTTTCTTTCTTTTTCTTTTTCTTTTTTTTTCCGGTGACCTTGGCAGTTTTGAGCAGTACCAGTCAGGTATTTTGTAGAATGTCCTATCAGTCTTGGTCTTTCCGTTGTTTTCCTCAGAGTTAAGGCTTTGAGGAAGGAGGATCCCGGAGCCAAAATACCATTCCCAGGACATCATATCCAGGGTGAACGCTGTTAACATGACATTCCTTTGTTGACTCACCTTGGATCACCTGGCCCAGGTGGTGTTTGTCAGGGCGTCCTACTATGACAACAACACTGCTTTATTGTTCCGTTGTTGTTCCTCTTTTCTATGCTGTACTCATTGGAAGAAAGACCTCCTGTGCACCCACACCTGAGGGGTGGGGAGGTACCTCCATTTTCTTGAATGGGGAGTATCTATATAAATTATTTGGGATTTACACAGCCCTTTGGAGAGAATATCACAATGCCATGTGAACCAGATGCCAGACATGGAGCTACAGGACCTGTTTGCCCAGCTGGATTTCGGTCTTGCTTTGGTCCTATCCTTTCTTCCTATGCCCCTAATTTTGTGAATGGAAATGTTTACTCTGTACC